GTCTAATATTACTTTTTTTCTGATCTAAAACATGTAAGTGTGACAAATATGCCACAAAAAAGAAATCAGGAAGGGGACAAATGCTTTTTTCATGCTGTTTTGAAAAAGGAATTCTTATATTTTTATTTACTTCTGTATGACACACAGAGAAGATGGTTAACTGCATAACGAAGAACAGAACATCTGTCACACACACACACACATATATATAAAATGTCCTTCTCGTTGACAGCAGGTTGGAATGACATTATGTCGTCCTGGTGACAGCAGAGTGTGATCATGGGATTTAGAAGAGGGTCACCATGTGCCATAATCTGTCCAAATATACCCCGATTTTCCTCTTCCTCACACTGTCTGGCATCATCTTCCTGCTGCGGAACATCCACACAGTAGAGGTGAGGAGAGAAGTGAAACTACCCGTGAGCTTTAACTCATGCTTTTTCTTTTCATTTTTGACAGTTATGAAAAGTCTCAAAAGATTTTTGATTTATTCACATAGCAGGCAAATTTTTCATTGTTTTTATATTATTGCAGAAATCAGTCGGGAACTCCTAAAACGGAGTATATGGACAAAAATAGTGGATCGGGTATGCATTAAGGAGCTGCCATAATACCATAATGGTTGTAGGGCACAATTTTTGTGCTTGAGTCTGCAGTGCTCTGGTGACTTTTATCTGGGTCAGCACGCTTTGACCCTGCTTTGCAACTCTGTGGCCTGTCACTTTTTGTTTCTGTGATCTTTTTTGAACCATAAGGGACCTTCCTGAGTTACTGAAGGAAACAGAGCTGCACTCTTAAAAGTTTGCATATAATCCCTTATAAGAAGCATTCAGGTCACCCTGAATGATCTGTATGCAGCTAAGTTTAGCAAGCTGCATACATAAACCACAGCTGGATTGCACAGATACACATTCCTGCTAATTTGTGCCAAGAGTAATAAAATACCGGAAATTCACACACTTCTCATTGGAATTCGTGGACAAGCTGCAACATACAGCAGGCCTTGTCTTTTGCCAGAAGGGGGAACCAGTAGTACAAACTCAGCTGAGCAGTCAAATGTGTGGACTTTAATTAGTAGGGGTCAAATCTTTAAGCTTTAACAAAATACATATGTGTGAACATAAAAAACAAACAAACAAACAAAACACATGAATGCAATTGCAACTTTCACTTGTTGTTCATTTTGCTCTGGGGGTCTGTGGGGATGGAGAAACTTAGATTTTTGGCACTAATGGCTTAATTTTTCATGTTGCTGCTTGGTTCATGGATTAAGAGGATTGAAGCATGGTTATTAGAAGTTGGCAACTCAATTTAATGGCAGCAAAAGTTAAGATATTTTGTATTTTAGTCCTTTGTAAGGGTCGTAAAGAGCTCCAATCATACCCGATCTTACGTTTCCCAAAATGTAATATTGAGTATGTGGAAATTATTTGCCTATGAGCAACCTTCAGCTCTGTTATTCTCAGTCCTGTCCGCATCAAACTGCTTTCACAGGCTGAGTAGGACTTCTTCTAACCAGTGATCTTTATCTTGGCATCTGTGCAGTTCCTCTTGAATTATTCCTGCAATATTCTACAACCCATAGTGTGGTATCCTCTAAAATTCATTCAGTTACCCTTCTTCTTTTCAGAACTGGAACTGCCAAGCGATTTCATCTTTCTACCAACTGCAGAGCAGGATCCATTCATCCCTCAGTGTGTCTCCTTTCTATCACAACCACACCTACTGTACCCATGTGGGCCAGAAACCCTCCCCTGAGGATGAACTTGAGGAGCGGTACCTGTTGGAACTCATCAGCTGGCCCAGCCCTCCGCCTCACTCTGGACCAACCACCCTGAGGCAGACGAGCGACCCTGTCCACAGCCTGTTCGCAATACTTCCCACTAAAGAAGGAAGGGAGTGGCACGTGGGCGATCAGCTAGAGGCCCTCATCCAGATGCACAACTTCCAGGGTCGTCCTAAACGCTACGGCGGGGATTTCCTTCTGGCCAGGCTGCACTCTCCGGAGCTTGGAGCGGCCGTGGTTGGGCAGGTGGTTGACCACAAGAATGGATTTTATTCTGCTCTGTTCCCACTCCTGTGGGTGGGCTCTGCACAGGTTGAAGTCATGTTGGTGCACTCCAGCGAGGCCGTCGCTGTGCTGCGACGACTCAGGGAGGAACGGGCCGATCGGGTGTTTTTTAAGAGCGTGTTCCGTTTAGGCCTTTTGTCAGAAACTACTGTGTGCAACCTGTGCTTGCCTACCAACCATCAGCCTCTTTGCAACTACACAGACCTTCACACAGGCGAGCCCTGGTACTGCTACAAGCCCAAGGTGCTCAGCTGTGACACCAGAATCAACCATGCTAAGGGAGGCTACTTGAAAAACCTCATCACCAACAAAGAAGCGCTGTTATTCAAAAGGTTTGTATGCTTTGTAGGATTTGGATGCTTATTTACTGTATCTACTGTTAAAGGATAAGTGTGGTGAGATTTCCTATTTTACTTAATTCATAAAAAACCCACAAACAATGAGTGTCTGCAGTCAGAAACCATTAAAATAAAACCATCTGCAGTATAGATTATTTTCTTCCCATGCTGCACACATTGTGTGTAAGATGGGCAACACATTAGTGCCAGCTGTTTAAAAATAAGGCCTTAATATTGTGGAAATGCGCACCATTACCTCCCCCCTGGTGACATCATTAGCAGCTCAAATCTTGCAGCAGATTTGTCACTGGTGATCTGATAATAGTTCTCTGGTATATCTATACATACGAAAATAGCTAAAACAGCACTCAGTTGTTATCTGACTTTTAAAGATGAGTTTATGCCTTAGCAACTCGACCAAGATATTAGTAGGAAATGTGACATTATTTTTTAACATTCATTTTTTTCCATCTGTCCTAGTGGTGTAAATCTCAAAGTTTACATACACGCTTCAGGACCTGATAAAATCAACGTGCTGCCACAGAAAGGTACGGTACTGTGGGAGAGGAACATTTGTAGCACCTGCTGTGATCTAAAAATGAATTTTGTCTTCAGCATTCTTTACTTCCTCTCAGATAAAGTGGAGGAAGAAAACAGCACAGCTAAACCAGAACATATTCAGCTAGAAACATCTGGATATTACTACATGGACTCCTGGAGGCCATTAGATGGATTTACGATGCGTCAGTTCAACAAATCATCAGCAGCTGTACAGTGTTTGAAGAACAAAGTGATCAACATGTACGGAGACTCTACTGTGAGACAGTGGTTCGAGTATCTCATTGGTTTTGTACCAGGTGAGCGGTTTTGTCCTTTTATTTCATTTTATAGACACTTACACTACCCACTGTAACTTTCATTTATTCCATTTCATCCAGAATTAAAGGAGTTCAACCTATACAATCCCAAAAAGGTTGGGCCGCTCATGGCGGTGGACAGCACACATAATATTCTCTTGAAGTACCGCTGCCACGGCCCTCCAATCCGCTTCTCTACCGTCATGTCCAGCGAGTTGCGGTACATTTCGAATGAGCTTGACGGCCTCTCTGGGGGCCCCAACGTGGTTGTGGTCCTCAGCATCTGGTCCCACTTCAGCACCTTTCCTGTGGACATATACATACGGCGTCTTCGGCACATTCGACAGGCGCTGGTGAGACTTATAGACCGAGCGCCAGGGACGCTAATAGTGATCCGCTCAGCCAATCTTCAAGCCCTGGATCAGGAGGTGAGCCTTTACAACAGCGACTGGTACTCCCAGCAGCTCGATCAGGTGCTCAGGACCATGTTCAAGGGGCTGAACGTTCTGGTGGTGGATGCCTGGCAAATGACTTTAGCTCACCATTTACCTCATGCCCTCCATCCTCCTCCACCTATCGTCAAGCAAATGATAGACATGCTTTTATCTTATATTTGCCCCGAGAGGAAAAAAAGCCAGAAATAGTGATGATAGTGGATATATTGTTAAATGTGATGTGTGAATCCATCCGTCAGTTTCTAACACATTTTTGTTTGGGTTCATAAGAACTCATATATTTTTCTAAAACACAAACTCTTCAAATACTGAAGATTTGCTTTCCTGCTATTTTTTTTTTTTTTAATTCCTACAAAACATGTTTTACTCTGATTTCCAAAGACTTTGGCACAATGATTGTTAATTCTCATCTTTGGGTATTACCAAAGTTTTCTTCATGTGCATTATTTTAATGTACAGAGGGGTTCAAATAATTGTTGAACACATCATCAATTTTCTAAGTAAATGTGTTTCTAAAGGTAATCACCAGATGTTGGTCAACAACCATTCCAGTCCACACATGCAAAGAAATCAAACCGTAGATTTAGATTTGAAATTAAGTTATGTGTAATAATGAGAAATGACAATTGGGGTCATTGGCTTGCTGAAATGTGCACCCTCGTTTCATCTTCATCATCCTGGTAGGTGGCAGCACTTTTTTATTAGTTCCTCGCCACATTTTCGCATTCATCCTTCCTTCGGTCATATGAAGCGTGCCAGTGCCGTATGCTGAAATAAACCCCCACACCATTATGTACCCACCTCTAAACTCACTGTTGGAATGGTGTTTTAGGGGTGATATGCAGCGCATTTTGACCTCCAAACATGGTGTGTGTATTCTGGAATCTAAAGAGTTCAATTTTGGTCTCACTTGACCAGAGACTCTATTCTCATTATTACACATAACAATTAATGGACATCTGTTGAGAATTTCAAATAGGATCTTTGGAAATATATTTACTTAGGAAACATTAAACACACATACACACATAACATGAAGATCTGCCTAATATTGTGTTTGCTTTTGCTACTACAGCCCTAAACCTTTAAGATATGTATTCAGTTAGACACCACCGGAAGGTCTGCTGTGGCATCTTGCACCAGGAAGTTAACAACAGATCCTTTAAGTCTTCTAAGTTGTGAGGTGGGGCTTCCATCGATCAGACATGTTTGTACAGCACATTTCCTTCCCACAGATGTTTGATTGGGTTGAGATCTGGCGAAGTTTGAATGTCAAGTCAACACCTCAAACCGTTCCTGAACAGTATTTGCTCTCTGGCAGGGTACATTATCCTGCTGAAAGAGGCCACGGCCATCAGTGAATACAGTTTCGATGAAAGGGTGTACATGTTCTGCAACAATGGTTAGGTAAGTGGTATTTGTCAAAGTAACATCCACATGGACGACAGGATCCTTGGTTTCCAAGTCGTACATTGCCCAAAGCATCACACTGCCCCCACCAGCTTGCCCTCTTCCCATAATGCATCTTGGTGCCAGGTGTTCCCCAGGTAAGCGACGCACATAAAGAAAACCTGCTCCGTGGTCCAGTTGTGATGCTCACATGCTCATTGTTGTTGCTTTCAGTGGTGATCAGGGGTCAGCATGGACCGCCTGGCTGTTCTGTGGCTGTGCAGCCTCATACGCAACAAACTGTGATGCATTGTGTATTCTGACTTTTGTCGCGGTTCGAATTTTGAGGAAGAGACATACGACTGAAAGTCCATAGTGGGTCAACACAAATTATTTTATTAAAACACATATGTGGTGAAGATAGGCTCTGCAAAACATCAGGCTCCATCTTTCCCTTACAATAGGTGGGTGTAATATTTATACTTATGATGACAAGTACCTCGCGTCACTAAAACAGAACAGTTCCTCTTTCAGTTCCTCCAGATGCATCCTGTTATTCTACTTGTCCAGACTTAATCCTTGTGTTGTCCACGGTTCATTTTTGTCCTCTAAAGAAATCTTTTGCTATCAAAAATGTGTTTTTTATTCATCAAATGGTTTGAAAATAACAGAAGTTATTCATTACTATACTATGAATGATTGGAATAAGTTTTAAGTAATTTGATTTATTTATGGGGTTTTTATTGGATTTTATAACACTTGTGGTCCTCGTGGAAAAAAATGACCCCAAAGTACAAAGTGTTGCAAAGAGCCGTATTTTCACAACATACTGCTTTCATACATCTTTGATCTTGGATCACTGATGTGTGGGGTCAAGCACTGGTCATAACAACCACAACAACAACAACAACAGGCAGCACAATGAGAAGGCAGGTGCTCTATATTCAATGAAATGTTATTTATACAGCGCCAAATCACAACAACAGCCGCATCAAAGTGTTTCATATTGTAAGGTCGACCCTACAATAATACATACACAGAAAGTATCCTCAAAAGCCTCCATTGCACTGGAGATTTGCATACTTTGATGAGCATACTTTTTTTTTTACCATGTTGTGCAAAGCAAATACCAGTAGGACAAAGCACATACTGTCCTCTAGTATAATGAGGAGGAAGAATCAATGTTCAGGAAGATCCAGGTTTAGAAGCTATAGAAAATATTGTCAATATTTAGAGCACATGCTACCATTTCTCTGAAAAAGCACATCAGCCACCTGCAGAAGTGGAAGAAGGCTATGAAGTGAAGAAAAGTGATGAAGAATCTGAACTATGTTCAAGTAGGTTCTCAGGCATCCAGGACAAGGTAGTCTGAGGAGCTTGGAAAGAAAGTGACTGGGCTTCTTGAAGTTTCTTGAATTTTCAGAATGTGAAACTGAAATAGAAGATGTGTCAGAGGACTACACATCATCCATTTCAATTATGATGAAGACAAAGAATCAAGCAAGAAAGAGGAGTCAGCTGAGACAGAGGAATATTTGCAGTAACGTGAGGAAACACTGATCTGGTCTTCTAACCTTCCCAGTGACAGACGATGCATCACTCTCTCATGTGCCTCAGAGAAAGATCTACCACAGTCCAAGCACAGATGCCAGGTCCCATACTCCTTCAGTGGCTTTTCTACTTGAGTACTGAAAGCATTATACACAGTGCATTCTGCTTGTATTCTGCTTTTTAACGTTCACATGCCAATGGATGCATCAGAGACCAAGTTGGGGTTCAGTAACTTGCCCAAGGACACCTTGGTAAGAACTCCAGACTAGAGCACACAGAGATTGAACCAACAACCATCCAATTAGCAGATGACCTGCTCTACAGCCAACTCAATGACGAGCAAGGAGGGACAACGAGAGAGGAAGAAAAATGGATCGAATGCAGCTGTAGGCATATGTGGGTGTGTTGATTCTTACTGCCGTGCATCCAGTAGAGTCGCTACGGCCAGTTTATGGCATCCTGAGTCTGGTAGAGAAGTTTTCATGCTGACACAAGATTAATCATAGAAGCAAAAAAAGGACATCATTTCTTGATAAAGACACAGTAGATAATCATCGTTCATGACACAAACGTGCTACCATTTGAGGTGTATGGTGTGTGTTGGTGTTGACTTGACTTGAAACACAAGTGGGTGTT